AATTTTAAAATAAGGCATTTGAAGGTGGGATAAAGAAGTAGCGGATAGCAAAAATCTTCTAAAAGTCTGTGGCAAGTGAGAACAGGGTTAAAAGGGAATTTAAAGAGTGTGGCAACTGTTGTAAGTCTCCAGTGTTAACATCACTGAACAGTTCTTGATTGCATAGGAAATGTTGTACTTTAAATTTTTTAATGTAGTATAAACCAAAGACTTGAGTAATTTTATTATACTTTTTTTCCTCTTATCTATTTTTAAGACAGTTTCATTAGGGGACAACATGTACAATGGCACTCTATCTGAGGCTAGTATATAGAGAGATTATAAGTAAGTTTTCACTATAGACAGCAAGTTGGAGAACATTTGAGAATTGTATTAGAGATTTGAAAGGGCCAGTACTAGTCCAAAAGGAGCTACAATAATTGTACAGAGGAGTAGAACTTTTGTGATCATTTCTAGCACTAGACAAGGTATACCTATAAAAAGTTATGTGTTATATTAAATTGATTAGATTTGCTACTCTTAATATATCCACATTTATTGTAATGTAAAAATAATAGTTAAATTACTTTTCATTGGCATTATCAAAATAACAACAATATTTCTCCTGCATCTCTCCATGTAATCTAGTTTGAAAAGTGTTTTCCATTTAGTCACAATTTGTGGCAACCACTGTAGTAAATGCATATACTAAGAAAATATTTTTACCCTCTTGGCACTATAATGTAGAGAAGTTAGCCAGAATCCCATCCTCTCAGGTCCACACTCTTTCTCCCCCCAAAATAAGAAAAAGAAGAGATTGTTGCTTTTCTCTTTTCAGATTGGATATTAAAATGACCTCATTCTAGAAAGAATGGCTGCTATGAAGAAATCAACCAATAGCAAATGCTGGCAGGGCTGTAGGGAAAAGGAACATTTTTCCACTGTTGATGGGGGTGTAGACTGGTACGACCATTGTGGAAATAAGTGTGGAAATTCCTCAAAAAAACTAGGACTAGAGGTCCCATTTGACCCAACTATTCCCCTGGTAGGTATCTTTCCAAAAGTTTCAAAAGCATCATACCACAGCGATATATGCACAGCCATGTTTATGGTGGCACAGTTTATGATAGCTAAATCTTGGAAACAGTCCAAATAGCAATCAACTAGTGACTGGATAAAGAAGATGTGCTTTTTTTTTTTTTTTTT